TCTCAAAATTTTATAAAAATATTATTAAAATTGCCCCCAAACAACACTCTTGTAGGAGTTTTCACAACTCATAACGTCTAAGTCACAACAGAAATAGATTTTGCCAAAGTAATTTTTCTCTTACTTGATCTGAGGTTTTATATTAAGGAAACAACTTTAGTAATTGCACGAATGGCTTGTTTACTTTGTTTTGGGATTTCTATGCGTCCATGTAGATGAGCATCATGCATAGGCCATGTGTTGTATAGTACAGATCGATAACTTAATTTAGAAAGCTCAACAATTAGAACTGAGGAAGTAAATGAGGCTAGTGTAATCATGTTAAGAAAATGATGCAGGGGCCAGCACTGTGGCACAGGGGGTTAAGTCAATATGGGATGCATCAGCATCCATTGAGTGTCGGTTTGAGTCTCTGCTGCTCTACTTCCAATTCAGCTTCCTGTATATGAGCCTGGGAAAGGAACAGAGGTTGGCCCAAGTCCTTGGGCCCCTGCACTCGTGTGGGAGACCCAGAAGAAGCTCCTGGCTCTTGGCTTTGGCCTGGCGCAGTCCCAGTCATTATAGCCATTTGAGGGAGTGAACAGCAGACCTCTTTCTGTCTATCTAACTCTGCTTTCAAATAAATTCAATCTTTAAAAAAAGAAAATAAGAGAAAATAAAACTAAAGAAAAAGAAAATGTTGTAGTGGTGAAATAAAATATCAATTATGGATTTTGAAAGCTGCTTTACAAAGGTGCTTATAAGGCTCTGACTTATTCTACGTATTTCTCTCTTTTATTTATTTATTTATTTATTTATTTATTTATTTATTTATTTATTTTTTGACAGGCAGAGTTAGTGAGAGAAAGAGACAGAGAGAAAGGTCTTCCTTCTGCTTCACATTCATTTTTGATCCTTATTGCTAAGTTCAATTACTTTTAAATCCTGAAGGTTTGAGTTCCAGTATTTTTACTGCACTTGGTGAGATACGGCTCCTCAAGGGAACTCAGTTTTCCTTATCAATGTAATGTTAGGAAAGATACCTATTCATGGGCTAGTTTACAAAGGTTAAATATAACCAATGTTTCTACAGTGTAATTTGTCAAACTAGTACAAAATTTGTCAAACCACTATAAAATAAGATTTTATACTCCAAATTAACTGAGCACTCCTGGTAGAGAAATAACATACTTATCAGGAATTATATTTATGATCCCTGACATGTCTAGTTAGTATAAAAAATATGAATTTTATGGACAGACTTGAGTTCAAATCTTGGCCTTGTAAATGTAACTTGGTTTCTTTAGCTAAATCAATTTTCAGAACCTAAGTCCAATCTTGTAAAACAGAAACACAGGATATATGTTATTAAAATTAATACATGTAAAAACATAAACACAGTGACAGCACATTATTTTAGGGCAAGTGCTTTGGCTTAGCAGGTAAAGTTGCCACCTGCAGTGCCGGCATCCCATATGGGCACTGGTTCGAGTCCTGGCTGCTCCACTTCCAATCCAGCTCCCTGCTAATGCCTGGGAAAGCAGAGGAAGTTGGCCCAAGTCCTTGGGTCCCTACACCCATGTGGGAGACCTGGAAGAAGTTCCATGCTCCTGATTTCAGACTGGTTCCTGGCTGCTGGTTTCGGATTGGCCCAGCTCTGGTTGTTGCGGCCACCTGGGGAGTGTACCAGCGGATGGAAGACCTCTCTCTCTCTCTCTCTCTTTCCGTCTTTCCCTCTCTAACTCTGCATTTCAAATAAATAAATCTTTTAAAAAAATTTCACCCCCAAATTAGGACAAAAATTAAAAAAATTGTTGTCTATTTTTTCAAATTCTTCTTTCTCCATGTTAATGTAGGGAATCTTAATTAGTCTTACTCTTGTTAACAAAGCATACAAATTTCCCCTGGAAATGAATTAACTATATCCTAGTATTACAGTATTTTAGAGTTGGCAGGGACTTTATCCACTCTTTTTTTATCTTCATGGTGAGACATTAGAGCCCTGAGAAGCTAAATTATCTTCTTGGGGTAATTCATGGAAGTGCAGAATTGGACAATAAGACTGATCTTTTCAGCTGCTACACTTAACTGTTCATTCATTCCTTGCTTAAAAATACTTACACAGGCTACCATATTCTAGATATTGTTTTGGCACTGGGATTACAATAGTTAACTAAGGTATTCAATAGAGGTAAAAGGACAAAGGCTTTCTAAGAAAAAAATCTACATGTAAAGTAGAAATAGGCAGGAATAAGCTTGCTCTATGTACTGAGCAGAGTGGATATGTCTGTAGTACTGGGTAGCACCTGGGAATACACAAAATTCAGAGCATTTTGGTAACTATACTGAATTACTGTGAAATGCCTTGTTAGAGTAGAGGTTGAAGGTAAAATGAAATATATGAATCACCTAGAAATTTCAATTACTCATGCATTATTCCCTCCAAAGAGAATATAAAATTGAGTCTAAAATATTCTAATAATACAACTACAATGGATACATTTATTAGATTAAGTTGAGAGTTTAAATATTTCCCAAGTTTTAGAGAGAAATCTCATTTTATATTTCATGTAATTCCCTTAACCAATATTCAAAACAGTATATATCTGAGAGATCACTTTGGCAATTGTAGGCTTGTAACCTGCTAAGAAGTTGACCATAGTATCACATGGATCTACTCTTCAGTATAGCCTGACACTCAAGTTCTCAAGTTCTAAGCTATAGAAACTTCAATGGTTTTGTTTACATCTGTAAACACTCACCCACTTGTGCCAACTGGCTAAGCTTTGGGTTCCCTAGAATAAAGTTTTTAATTCTTATCATCATGAAATATCTTTAAGAAGAATGCCACAGGGACTGGCACTGTGGTATAGAGGGTAAAGCCTCCACCTGCAGTGCCAGCATCCCATATGGTGCCAGTTTGAGTCCTGGCTGCTCCACTTCTGATCTAGCTCCCTGTTCATGTGCCTGGGAAAGCAGTGGAAGATGACCAAAATGACCCAAGTGTTTGAGCCCTTGCACCCACATGGGAAACCCAGAAGTTGTTTCTGGCTCCTGACATCTGGGGAGTGAACAAGCAGATAGAAGATCTTTGTCTCTCCCTCTCTGTCTGTGTGTGTGTGTAACTCCGATTTTCAAGTAACTAAATAAAAATCTTAAAAAAAAAAAAAGTGCCACATATGAATGAACCCTATTCCATCACTGCAAGAAAATCACCTCTGAAATGATAAAAAATGTTTTGGATCCTGCTCTGCACATTTTATTTGTGTAGATATTCTTCAGGTACATGTAACCTAAAATAACTCTGGAAAACAATGACATATTTGCACTTAAAAAAAATTTCTTTAGGCCAGCGCCAAGGCTCACTAGGCTAATCCTCCACTTGTGGTGCTGCCATCCCGGGTTCTAGTCCCAGTAGGGGCGCTGGATTCTGTTCCGGTTGCTCCTCTTCCAGTCCAGCTCTCTTCTGTGGCCCGGGAGTGCAGTGGAGGATGACCCAAGTGTTTGGGCCCTGCACCCGCATGGGAGACCAGGAGGAAGCACCTGGCTCCTGGCTTCGGATCAGCAAAGTGCGCCGGCTGCAGCGACCAATTGGGGGGTGAACCAACGGAAAAGGAAGACCTTTCTCTTTCTCTCTCTCTCTCACTGTCTAACTTTACCCGTCCAAAAAAAAAAAAAAATTTCTTTAAACGGACACAAAAAACAATTTACAGTGTATTATAAACTTGATGATTAAAAATAACACTGTTACATTACTCTTAAGTAAATTCACTAGAATCTAAATACCAGAGAATCCGATACCATACCATCCATTTAAAAAATAATGGGGGTAGGTGTACAGCCTATCAGTTGTCACTGGGTAAGAGGCCTGGGTATCCTATTGGAGTACTTGGGTTCAAGTTCCAGTAATGCAGACCATGGAGGCAGTGGTGATGGCTCGAGTAATTAGGTTACTGGAGCCAGTGTTGTGCACATTAAGCTGCTGCTTGCAACATCATTGTTCCATATCAGTGTGCTAGTTAGAGGCCTAGCTCCAATTCAGCTTCCTGCTTATGAACCAGGGAAGGCAGCAGAAGGTGGCCCAAGCATTTGGGCCCCTGCCACAAAAGGAATTCCTGGCTACTGGCTTTGGCCTGGCCCAGAACTGGCTGCTGTGGCCATTTTGGGAATGAACCAGTAGATGGAAGATATCTCTCTGTATGCCCTTCTGTCACTTTTCCATTCAAACACACACACACACACACACACACACAAATAAATATTTTAAAATATGAATAATTATGTTTCTGCCACCCCTATGGGAGACCTGTATTGAATTTCCAGTTCCTGACTTTAACTAGGCCCAGTCCTGGGAAATGTGGGCATCTGAGAAGTGAACCAGTAGATAGGAGCTCTTTCTCTGTCTCTTTCAAAAAAACTAAACACATCATGAGCACATTTTTTTTTTTTTTGACAGGAAGAGTGGACAGTGAGAGAGAGACAGAAAGGTCTTCCTTTGCCATTGGTTCACCCTCCAATGGCTGCTGTGGCCAGCGCACCCCGCTGATCCGAAGGCAGGAGCCAGGTGCTTCTCCTGGTCTCCCATGGGGTGCAGGACCCAAGGACTTGGGCCATCCTCCACTGCACTCCTGGGCCACAGCAGAGAGCTGGCCTGGAAGAGGGGCGACCGGGACAGAATCCAGCGCCCCGACCGGGACTAGAACCCGGTGTGCTGGCGCCGCAAGGTGGAGGATTAGCCTATTGAGCCGCGATGCCAGCCTGAGCACATTCTTCTTTAAGAGCTAGAAATGTTCTTTGGTTTCCTTTTCTTCTTGAACTCCTATTTCCATTCCAATTCTCCTACAATTTTTTTTTTATCCTAAATAATATCTCTATGCTTGAAAATGTTTTACTGATTATATACCTTTGCAAAACAAAAAAAAAAGCATATGCAAATTAACTTATATAGCTTTAAATGTTAAAATTTCTTCTGTATAATTCTAATTACTGGCATACAATCAAAACAACACAGATATACCACAAACATTTAAAGTAAGATTTTATTGGAAATGCATTTCTTTTTTTTTTTGACAGGCAGAGTGGACAGTGAGAGAGAGAGACAGAGAAAAAGGTCTTCCTTTGCCGTTGGTTCACCCTCCAATGGCTGCCGGGGCCGGCGCGCTGCGCTGATCTGATGGCAGGAGCCAGGTACTTCTGGTCTCCCATGGGGTGCAGGGCCCAAGCACTTGGGCCATCCTCCACTGCACTCCTGGGCCACAGCAGAGAGCTGGCCTGGAAGAGGGGCAACCAGGACAGAATCCGGCACCCCGACCAGGACTAGAACCCGGTGTGCCGGCGCCACAAGGAGGATTAGCCTAGTGAGCCATGACACCGGCCGGGAAATGCATCTCTTAATATGATGGAGGGAACACTGATGATGGCATCTTCTCCTAGAGGCAACTTTACTACTGATTCTTAGATTAAGTGATTTGACTCATAAGTGATTTGACCCATTTGGAATCAAATTCCAAAAGAAAACAAGGAGTAAGTAATCGGATCTGGGTCTAGAGAACAAATCCTTATTATTCATTACTCCTTCTTTTATCACAGTTACTTTCTAAGGAATTACCCAAAGGTAGAAATGGTCTCTGGCTAATGACAGAAGACAAGACATCTAATGGTGGCTAATACTGTTCTCAGAAATTTTGGAATAACTTCTGTGTCCTCTAATATATATTTAATTTCATACCATCATTACAGAAATAATCTTAATTTTCAAAAACCTCAATTTTCTAATGGTTGGAAATTTTCTTTTTAAATCCTAGCTTTTAACACACATCAACTTCCTATTTTTTTTTTTTTGACAGGCAGAGTGGACAGTGAGAGAGAGAGACAGAGAGAAAGGTCTTCCTTTGCCGTTGGTTCACCCTCCAATGGCCGCCGCGGCCAGCGCACTGTGGCCGGCGCACCGCGCTGATCCGATGGCAGGAGCCAGGAGCCAGGTGCTTTTCCTGGTCTCCCATGGGGTGCAGGGCCCAAGCACCTGGGCCATCCTCCACTGCACTCCCTGGCCACAGCAGAGGGCTGGCCTGGAAGAGGGGCAACCGGGACAGAATCCGGCGCCCCGACCGGGACTAGAACCCGGTGTGCCGGCGCCGCTAGGCGGAGGATTAGCCTAGTGAGCCGCGGCGCCGGCCTCAACTTCCTATTTAGAATATCTTTAAAGTATATTTTTCAACTATCCTCCATAAACCTGAAACAAGATCATCTAATTTTCTTGGTCCAATCAGGTAATATGTACAGATTAATATTTAAGGGATGTAAAATGTGATTAAAATCCATCCTAATATTGATGTATTTCTTTATATAACTTCAACAACTCAACTGAATAAATATCTACAAAATACTAAATAAAAAACACATTAGACACTGTATGGAATCCACAAATGTCCTCTAAGAGTTTACTATCCTGATCAGTGTTTCTCAAAGTGTGGTCTCAGGAATAACTTATCTATGTGCCCTAGGAGGCATATATTGTAAAGAATGCAGGTTTCTAGGTCCTTCATAAGGTTTACTAAACCAGAACCTCTGGGGATAAGCTAGAAATCTACATCTTCAGCAAATATCCCAGATAATCATGATGGACACAGAAATCTGGGAAGCAGTGTTCTGAGAAGAGAAGAAACACAGGGTACAAGTTAGGCTTAGAGATGTTTATGGTAAGAGAAATTAATTGTCCAGTAGAGGCACGGATTATGCAAAAGCAAGGAGGGATCCCCTTGTAGTAGGATTGGCAACAGACCTATTGGAATCAAGTAGGACTGGGATCTGGCATGTTGGCAAGCAGAGTTGAGAGCCTAGGAGTTAACGTCTGAGCAAGTAGCCTGAGCTACGAGGTCAGCTCTGCCGTATGGTCAAGGGGGTCTTCGCTTGCTGGCTGAATAGGTGTAAGTAAAAGCCAAAAAGAGTTCAACTGAGCTTCAATAGAGGTTTTCACACAGGCAACATCAGTTTCTCTAAAAGGGCATAGGAAAAAGTATCTTACCTTTCAACTTCACTGAAAATGATTTAAAAATATTTCATATTAAAGACCCATAGAGATCCAAAGAAAGCAAAGGAACATTAGTTTTTTATTTAAAAAACATCCTCTCAGCATGGAAATAAAATCATCCAAAAGAAATAGCTCATACTTTCTCTGATTGCTTTTCAAACAAAAAATGTTCCAAAATTATTAACTAAAATCAGCATAGCAGGAAACAACTAGTAGAATCTGTGCAAGTACAACAGGCTAGTACCCCCAGGAAGTGTAATACTTTTCTGTAATATTTATGAAATTAAAACCTAGATAATGGTTAAATTATGGTTTGTGTTTAAAGTCTAAACTCTTGGCTTTGCATGTCGATTTTTGGAATCAGAGTAAAGGTAACTGGCATGTCGTTCCATCACAAAGTGTCTGTGGTAGCCATGCAAAGATGTTCATGGAATCCCAGGGACACCTTTTATGTCTGTTTTTAATACCCATCTGTTGTAGTATTTATCACACATCTATTTTTCCTTCTAGACTGTTAGCTTCTTGACAGTTGGTCTTTTAGATGACTACATATTCCATGTGCTGGCACATGGATGTGGCTCACTGAAAACTAACTAAATAAGTGAAAACTATAGACTTGATCAATCTTAACCCACTGATATTTTAGATGAAGTTCATATATCAAAAAGCCTGTTCTCTGAGCAGGCATTTCTTCTGAAGTAACTTAAATTATCAGCTTATTGAGCCTGTATTATAATCTAATCATCTCTCTCCCTCGCCTCCCCTAGCTTATTTTATGAACTGAAGCTCTCAATTGGCTAAATGACATACAGTCACAAAAGACCAATTAAAAAATCCTTTAGGAGCAAGTGTTATGGCACAGCAGGTTTAAGATGCTACTTGAGACACCCAAATCCCATATGGAAGTTTCAGTTCAAGTCTTGGCACCTCTGCTTCTTATCCTGCTTCTTGTTAGTGTATCCTGGGAGGCAGTGGATGATGGCAAGTGATTGAGCTCCTGCCACTCCTGTGGGAGACCTGGTTGGAGCTTCAGGCTTCTGGCATTGGCCTGGCCCCAGTCCTGGCTGTTGCAGACATTTGGGGAGTGTATCACAGACAGGGAATCTCCCTTTGCTTTTCAAGTATATGAAAATAAACAAACAAACATCTCTTTGGGTCAAATCCTGATATTTTGTAAAAAAAAGTTTTAGTGGAACACAGCTATGCTCATTGTTTTTCTTTTTAAAATATTTTACTGATTTAAAGGCAGAGTTACTGAGCGGGGAGGGAGAGAGAGACAAAGAGAGAAATCTTCTAACTGCTTGTTCCCTCTTCAAATGGCTGCATAAGCTGGCCCTGTGCCAGCAAGGAGCCTGTAACTCCTGTGTCTCCTACATGGGTGGCAGTAGCCCAAGCACTTGGGCCATCTTCTCTGCTTTCCCAAGAGCATTAATAGGGAGCTGAATTAGAAATGTAGCATTTAGGACTCAAACTGTGCTCATATGAAATGCGAGTGTCAGAGGTAGCAGCTTAACTTACTGCACTATCACACTGGCCCCCATGCCTACTGTTTATGTAGTCTATAGCTGTTTCTGTGCTACAATGGCAGAATTGACTAACTGTCATCATGTGACTCACAAAGCCAAAAATACTTACTAGCTAGCCATTTACAGAAAAAAGTTGTCCAAGACTTGCTTTCATGTACTGAAGTGGCATCAATATGTAATGCCCAGGATGCATACATGTTGAAATCAATTAGTACATTACTTTTTAGAAATCAAGATGAAAATCTTATCACAGTAAAGTCACTCTTACAGCACTGCAGAAAATATAAAGATGAGGATGTCTAGAGGAGATCCAAGATAGTGGAATAGGGAGGGAACTTACTGCTCTAGTCTAAGGGAAGATAGTTTAAAAAAAGTGGAGAGTATAGTCTCAGGGAAGAGTTAGGGAGAAAATGGCAGAATAAACTTCATGCAAATCAGACGGACATTGTGGACCTAGTGGAGAGTTTGGATGTGCACAACTCTGGGCCCCAGTGGCTAAGAGCCCCAGCACCAGCTCTGGAGTGAGATGAGAGGCTTTGGCAGCCCCAGCCACTGGCGATAAAGCTGTAGGAAGAGCCTGGCGTGGGCCTGGCTTAGAGCCCTGTCGGGGACAGAGTAGTTGCCAAGTTAGAGGAGAAAAAAAGGGTGCATGTTTCTCTCTCTACAACCACCCTGCACTGGTGTCCTGTAACAAGCTGAGAGAAGGTGGGTGCCATTTTGGACATACATAACAGCTGCCATCAGCTCTTGTCCATGTGACCAACAACCAGCCAAGTGGAGATACTAGGACTGTGAAAATACTGTGGCTGGAAAAGAAGATGCAGGATGTGGCTGGGACTTTGGGCAGCCACTGTGGGTGGCTGCACTGCACACACTCGGGGCTCCCTGAATTCCAGGTGCGGATGATTGCTGTGGGATCTGTGATCACACCAAGGACTGCACAGTTCCTTTGTGTGGTTCGTGGGGCAGAGGACGAATACTGGACTCACTTGGGTTAGCACCCTGACACTGCTCTCCTTTGAGTAGAAGAAGTGAGTGTGAGACTACAACAGAACAAGCCTCACCTCTGATTAAAACAAAAATATAAACAACAAAAAAAAGAGATTTACCACACTGAACCTGGGTGTCATCTTGGATGCTCCCTTCACCCTGGATCACTGAATAGAGCTTCCTGGCCACACTCACCACACGCCCCTGGGCATTGACTTAAAAATCAAACACTACACTAAGCCACAGGGACATAGTCCAAAGATAAACACAACCACAGGGGAAAAAAAAACAAAGAAATGAAGTGTCTCTACAAATGCTGAATAATAATCGTAGCAATTCAAGAAACAAGAGTAGGAAGACAACATTATGCCCCCCAAAAGAACACAACACTTCAATATTAGAATGTGAAGATTAAGAGACTGAAGAAATGCCAGAAACAGAATTCAAAAAACTGACTGTACGATTACTTAGAAGTAATCAGAGGCAAATCTATGAACTAAAGAAATCTGTACATGAAATGAAAGAAAATTTCTCCCATGAAACTGATGTTAGTAAAACAGTGTGGTCCTATCTGTGGTACCACCTTAAGTCCCGGGTGTCATCTTAGGCTTTGGCCCCCATTGCCATCTTGCACAGTAAGCTCTGGTCCTAAGCCCAGCCTGGCTTGCTAGAAGTCAGACTAAATGGCCCAACCACAAGTTTCAGCTCCACCCCTAGCCTAGCACAATTCGTCAGTCCCACTTCATTATCCTCTGCAAGGCTATAACAGGACCTGTTTCCCACACATGTGCTCTCTTGATCTTTCTCTCTAGACCCCTCTCTCCCTTTGTCACCCTCTGTCACCCTCTCCCTCCAGACTGTTAGGTTAACTGCTACCCAACAATAAAACTTTTCTTTATTCTCGTGTTAGGTGTGTTTTGTGGTGGCCTTACAACTGAGATCTTAAAGAGAAATCAAAATGAAATGTTGGAAATGAAGAACTGAATATAACAAATAAAGAATGTGGTGGAAAACCTTAACAAAGGACTCAGTGAAGAAGAATGAAGAATATCCAAGTTAGAAGACAAATCTATGGGAATTTTACAATCAGACCAAAAACAAGAAGAAATTAGAAAACTAAAAAACACTGTTGGAGATTTATAGGATACTAACAAATGATGCAACACATGGGTCTTAGGAGTTCCTGAAGGTGAAAAAAGAGAGAATGGATTAGAAGGTCTTTTTAGTGAAATAATTACAGAAAGCTTCCATAATTTGGAGAAAGGAAGGGACATCCAAATAGAGGAAGCACAAGGAACTCCTAAAAGAAAGGACCACAAAAGATCTTCATGACACGTTGTAGTTAAATTTTCCACAGTAAAATGTAAGAAAAAAAATTCTAAATTGTGCACAAGAGAAATGCCAGATTACTTTCAGAGGATCTCCAATTACACTCACAGATGACTTTCATCAGAAACTCTACAGACAGGCTAGAGAGAATGGAGAGATATCTTCCAAATCCTAAGAGAAAAAAACTGTTAACCCAGAATACTATACCCTGAAAACCTCTCATTTATGCATGAAGGTGAAATAAAGACCTTCCATAACAAACAGAAATTGAAGGATTTGTCACCACCTGTTCAGCCTTACAAAAGATGCTTAAGGATGTGCTACACAGAGAAACACAGAAACATGGTCATCACTGCAAAAGAAGGTGAAGGTGGAACAACTCTCAGTAAAAGTACAAAGGAAATCCAAAGTAAACAATACGAATATTTATTGGAAAATGGATTAAATGGATGAATGGATTAAAAAAAAAACCCATCTATTTGCTGCCTAAAAGAAACGTATCTCACCAACAAAGATATATGCAGAATGAAAGTGAAAGAAAGGAAAAAGATATTCTATGCTAGCAGAAACCAAAAACAGCTGATGTAGCCATCCTAATATCAGACAAAATAGACTTTAACATAAAAACTATTAAAACAAAGAAGGGCACTATGTAATGACTAAGGGATCAATTTAATAGGAAGATGTGACTATTATAATTGTATATGCAACTAATTACAGGGCATCTGGATATTTAAAAAAATGTTAATGGATCTAAAAGGAGACACACAGACTCCAATACAATAGTAATGGGGGACTTCAATACTCCATTTTCAGCAATGGGCAGATCAACCAGAGAAAATTAGCAAAGAAACAGAGTTAATCGACCAATGGACCTAACAGGTATCTACAGAACTTTCCATCCCACAGTCATAGAATATACATTCTTCTCACCAGTGCATGGAACTTTCTCTAGGATTGACCACATGCTAGGCCATAAAGCAAATCTCAGAAAATTCAAAACAATCAAAATCATACTATGCATCTTCTCAAACCACAATGGAATGAAGCTGGTAATCAACAACTCAGGAATCTCCAGAACATATGTAACATGGAGACTGAACAACATTCTTCTGAATGAACAGTCGGTCATAGAAGAAATAAAAAAAATTCTGGAAACAAATGAATACAACATATCAAAACTTATGGGATACAGCAAAAACAGTGTTAAGAGGAAAGTTTACAGCAATTGGTTCCTAAATCAAGAAATTGGAAAGGCACCAAATAAATGAGCTATCAATGTACTTCAAGGACCTAGAAAAACAAGGGCAAACCAAACCCAAATCTAGCAGGAAAAAAGAAATAATTAAAATTAGAGAATAAACAAAATTGAAACAAAAAAAAACTATACAAAAAAATCAGCAAAACAAAGAGTTGGTTTTTATAAAACAAATTTGACACACCACTGGCCCAACTAACCAAACCAAACCAAACCAAACCAAACCAAACCAAAACCCAAATGAAAATTAGAGATGAAAAAGGAAATGTAACGACAGATACCACCACATAAATAAAAAGAAATCATTAGAAATTACTACAAAGAGCTGTATGCTAACCAACTGGGAAACCCAAAAGAAATGGACAGATTCCTGGACACATACAGCCTACCTTATTTGAACCATTAAGACAAAGAAAACCTAACCAGACTAATAAACAAGACAAAATTGATTCAGTTATAAAGACCCTCCCAACAAAGAAAAGCCCAGGACTGGATGCCTTCACTGGTAAATCCCAGTAGACATTTACAGAAGAACTAACTCTAATTTGTCTCAAGTTTTTCAAAACAATTAAAAGGGAGGGAATCCTCCCAAATTATTTTTATGAAGCCAGCATCACCTTAATTCCTAAACCTGAAAAAGATACAACATAGAAAGAGAACTACAGACAAACTTTCCTGATGAACACAGACACAGAAATCCTTAACAAAATTCTAGCTAATTGAATCCAACAATACATCAGAAAGATCATTCACATGGATCAAGTGGGATTGATCCCTGGTATGCAGGGATGGTTCAACATTCACAAATCATTCAATAAATGATAAATAATAAACTAAAGAACAAAAATCATGATTATCTCAATAGATAAAGAGAAAGCATTTGATAAAATACAACACCCTTTCATGATGAAAACTCTAAGCAAACTGGGTACCGAAGGAACGTTCCTCAGCATAATTAAAATGGCAATTTATGACAAACCCATGGCCAGTGTCCTATTGAATGGGGAAAAGATGGAAGCATTCCACTAAGATCTGTAACCAGACAAGGATGCCCACTTTTACCACTACTATTCAATATAGTCCTGGAAGTTTTAGCCAGACCCAATAGGCAAGAAAAAGAAATCAAAGGGATACAAATTAGAAAGGAGGAAGTCAAACTATCCCTATTTGCAGATGACATGATTTTATATATAGGGGATCTAAAGGACTCCACGAAGAGACTATTGGAACTCATAGAAGAGTTTGGTAAAGTGGAAGGATATAAAATCAACACACAAAAATCAAGTCTTTGTATACACAGACAATTCCATAGCTGAGATAGAACTTCTAAGATCAATTCCATTCATCATAGCTACAAAGAAAAACGAAACAAAACAAAACAAGGATGTCAAAAATCTCTGATGGGAATTACAAAATATTAAATAAATAAATAGAAGATACATGAAAATGGAAAAATCTTCCTTGTTCATAGATTGGAAGAATCAATAACATCAAAATGTCCATACTACTGAAAGCAATTTACAGATTCAATGCAATACCAATCAAAATATCAAGGACATTATTCTTAGATATAGAAAAAACGATGCTGAAATTCATATGAAACACAGGAGACTCTGAATAGCTAAAGCAATCTTACATACAAAAACAATGATGGAGGCATCACAATACCCAATTTCAAGACATACTACAGGGAAGTTATAATCAAAACAGCCTGGTACTCATACAAAAACATATAGCTAGACCAACAGAACAGAACAGAAATGACAGAAATCAATCTGTGCATCTACAACCAACTTATCTTTGACAAAGGAACTAAAATCAATCCCTGGAGCAAGGACAGTTTCTTCAACAAATGGTGCTGGGAAAACTCGATCTCCACATGCAGAAGTATGAAGCAAGATCCCTACCATACACCTTATACAAAAATCCACTCAAAATGGATTAAAGACCTAAATCTATGACCCAATACCATCAAATTATTAGAGAACATTGGGGAAACCCTGGCATAGGCAAAGAGTTCTTAGAAAAGACCCTGGAGGTACAGGCAAACAAAGCCAAAATTGACAAATGGGATTACATCAAATCGAGAAGTTTCTGTATTGCAAAAGAAACACTCAGCAAAGTGAAGAAGCAACTGACAGAATGAGAGAAATTATTTGCAAACTATGTAACTTATGAAGGATTAATAACCAGAGTATATAAAGAGATCAATAAACTCCACAACAACAAAGCAAACAACCCAGTCAAGAAATGGGCAAAGGATTTAAACAGGCATTTTTCAAAAGAGGAAACCCTAATGGCCAACAGACACATGAAAAGATGCTCAACATCAATGGCCATCAGGGACATGCAAATCAAAACCACAATGAGGTTTTACCTCAGCCCAGTTGAATGGCTTTCATACAGAAATCAACAAACAACAGATGCTGGTGAGCATGTGTGGAAAAAGGTACCATAATCCACTGTTGGTGTCAATGCAAACTGGTACAGCCACTATGGAAGACAGTATGGAGATACCTCAGAAATTTGAATATAGCCCTACCACATGATCCAGCCATCTCTCTCCTGGGAATTTACCCAGGGAAATGAAAGAGTTATCTGTACCCCTACATTTATTGCAGCTCAATTCACAATAGCTAGGATATGCATTCAACTCAAATGCTTGTCAAATGAAGACTGAATAAAGAAATTATGGTTTGTATACTATGGAATACTACATAGCGGTTAAAAAAAAAACACGAAATCCAGTTGTTTGCAACAAAATGGATGAAACTGGAAAACAAAATAATTACTGAAATAAGCCAGTCCCCAAAGGACAAATACCATGTGTTCTCCCTGACTTGTGATAACCAATAGAGCACCTAAAAGGTAATCTATAGAAGTGACATCGACACATTGAAAAGCAATAACTTTGAATAGCCCTTGTCTCGACTGCTGAGGAACAGTTTTCCTTTTTCCATATTATTATTTGAACTCTTTACTTATCATAGTTAATCATATGTGTGTATAAAGTTAAATGAAAATAAATCTTAGTAAAAAAATAAGAATGGGAATAGGAGGAGGAGGAGGGGTAGGAGAATATGTGGGTGGGTGGGTATGCTGGGAAGAATCACCATGATCCTAAACTTGTAATTATGAAATGTATTAAGTTTGTATGCCTTAAATAAAAGGTTTCTGGGAAAAAAAAAGATGAAGGATGTCTAAAGGCAGTCACTGTCCTCAAAAATAGTTTATCATCAATATACTTCATGGGATAAGACACAAGGTATGGTTGGAGGAATTTTGAAAATTATGAAACGTATTTTGAGGGTCAACGATAAAGAAAATACATCCAGTTTGGAGGAAGGGATTGGATTCTGCCACAGACATAGCAGAGACAACATATGGGAAGTTATTATATCAGGAAGACTGGCAAAGTGGATGGAAGACATTAAGGACATCAATTATGTAGGGAGGGGTGTCAAGGGAGAAGTGAAAAGTCAAAGTTGTTTGGCTCCTAACAGAATGACCATACTAGTAACAGAAGGTAAGTATCAAGATTTGCTGTTTTTAAGATGCCAGGTATAGAGCCAGTATATTTAATACAATACATACATACACACACAGACATCCCATTTAATAGAAGACACTTCCCATCCCCCCCAACAGCCCATTAAATATGACACACACATAGATACATCACACTGCCAACTCATTTAATATGACACACACACACACAGTTTATTTCATATAAGACATCTCCCCAACACACACACATACACAGCCCATCTCTCTCTCTCTTTCTCTCTCTCTCTCTCTCACACACACACACCCTGGAAGAAATGAGTGTGGTTCAGTGAGATATAGACATGCTGAGCTTAAGATTTAATAAGATGTATCCATGAAGAAAGCTGTAAACTAGGATTTGAAACTTGGGAGAAAGGTTGAAAATATATCCAATTTTGGGAGTCATTTGTACAGGAACAACAGGTGATGACATCTTAAGCTCCTGAAACCTCACATTCTTGCAATATCTAATTTATGTCAAAAGAAATGTAAACTAACATGATTGGGAATTTGTTCCTTTGTGGTTAGTGGTGAGTAGCCTGCTGGGACTATAGCTAATTGTGAACTTAAGCATGCTTCCCAGAAGTATAAGAAATTATTTGGCTAGAAATAGCTGCATTAAAAAATAATAATGTATAATACAATCAACTGCCAGCCATGTGGAACTTTTTATTTTAAATAGATTGGCTCAGTTTACTAAGGAAATAATCTCCAGAATTAAAAACAAATGAAATCTCACATTTACTGAGTCATTTCAATAAGATGTTACCTGTAAATATTTTTCCAATTGTAATACAAAATATTTGAATAATATCTATTTATTGAGTTATTTGTTGTGTGCCAGGAACTATGTTAAATCACTGACATATATTAACTCAAATAGATCTTCAACAACAGTTCAATATCATGCCTGTCTCAATCCCTACTTTCAAATGGGAAAACAGAGGCTTAGTAACTTTCCAAAGTATGCATCAAATTAAGACATTATGTTGACTTTATAGAAAATCCTCAGTGTAGATTTTTTAGATGTTGGCAAAAACATTCCATAATTTGGATTAGGCTTAAGGAGCAATGCTGTAAAAAAATTCTTATTTAATATACAATATTTGCAATGTGAGCAATTTGGTCTACAAAATCTGAACAGGAGGCTCTTAAGAAAAATAAGAGGGTCTACTTCGCCATATATTCTGGAAGGATAATGTTACTTTTTCTTATAGTATTATAATCCCACTCTAAAGAATCCTAATAATAAAGCATTAGTATAAAAAGGTCATTCTTCTGAAAATAATGTTGGGTGTACTTGAAATTCAGCCTGCCCTAAATCTGTGTAGGACTTGGGCCCCTTTGCTTCCCATTCATTGTTCCCAACAGCCAACTAGTTATTAAACCTTACTAATTTTTCTGCTTGATTTTTATAGCTGCATACTCAACATCTTGAGATCTTAACTTGATAACAGCAGAGGGTCCAGAACGAATTCTTCAACTTCATTTAAAGAAAAAAGTTCTACAGGGAAGTTTCTGGCTTTGCACCAGTCCAGCTGCAACTGTTGCAGCCATCTGGGGAGTGAATCAGCAGATGGAAAATCTCTTTCTCTCTCCCTCCCTCTCTCTATGTAACTCTTTCAAATAAATAAGTAAATCTTTCAAAAAAAAGTTTTGAAATATTGTTCTGAACACATATATACACTCCAACATCCTCAAATCACTTACTTTTTTTCCCAAACAACTAAATGTTCTTATGCATCTTGGCATCTTGTATCTTTCTTTGGACATGGACTATCCACCTTTAGTAAGAATCAAACATCATGACCACTACAATGCCTTTTCTGATGATGCAAGAGCAGCTGCTACCCTCCTTGCAGCCTAATAAACACTTAGGTATATATGTATGTGTCTGCCTTCTCCACTACAAAAGAATTATACCTTACTCATTTTTGCATAAGTCCTAATTTTTATTTATATGAATAGAAGATTTTATATGTTTAAACAACTTTTTAAAAAAGATTTATTCATTTATATTTATTTGAAAGTTAGAGTGACACACAAAGAGAGGGACTGACAGAGAGAGGAAGGGAGAAAGACGGAGAGGGAGGAGGTAATTCATCTATCTGCTGGTTCACTCCCTAAATGTCTGCAACAGCCATGGCTGGACCAGACTGAAGCCTGAAGCCAAAATCTCCATCTGAGTCTCCCATGTGAGTGGCAGGGGCCTAAATAGTTGAGCCATCTTCTGCTCCTTTCCCAGGCTCATTAGTAGGGAGCTGGATCAGAAGTGGGGCAGCCAATATTCAATGGCACTTTGACAAAAGGTGCTGGCATCCCAAGTGGCAGCTTAACCCGCTGTGCCATCAACATTGGCCTCAATCAATGGTTTTTATTTATTTTTGAAAGAATCATCCTGTACCTTCTTAAAATGCCCAAATCAGGATGTTATGCAAATATCAAAGCAGCAAAGCAAACATAAAGAGAAAATATACCTGAACTTTGTGAAAATAATTCCATTAATAAATAAAAACTAGACTTCAAACTAAATAAGACTTGGAAACTTACAACTGAAGAAAGCTTGCAGTTTTATAAATGAACAGCAATGCAAGAGCTGCTGCCCCTTGTAGTGCCCAGCTTTTCCAGTTCAAGAACACCAGTTTACTTTCTGAGAATAGAAAGTTGGTAACAATGTGGCGAAAAGGGCAACACCAAGAATTTTATTACCTGAATGATCTCCTCCACTGGGAGCATCAGCTCCACAGAGGCAGGAACACTCTTCCTTACTACTACAATCCAAATGTCTAGAAAGTACCTGGACCTTAGGGGGAACTCACTATGAATGAGTAAATAATATTTAAGTAGCTATATTAGTTTTCATCAGAAGAGAAAATCTCGTATGTATTCTGGAAAGAAAACTCTTAAAAGATTTGCAACAAATTGCCTGAGCTTTCCAGGATCACAATTTAAAAACAAAAGTCACACACAGTAAAGCTAAAATCTAGGAAATGCTTATTAAGCTTGCTCTAAATGATCAGGTATACCATAAGACAACTGCCATAAGCCCTCCAAGAATGGAAAAGCAAACCAGTGGAAATTGGCAATATCAAGTATTTGCTAAAAAATTTGCTCTGATGTTACAGGAATGCTGTAAATCATACGATACATTTAGTCAAGCAGCCACAAGGGAACTACACATTTCTGCCCGTTAAGCACTTTTCAGGAAATAATACGAATCTTCCTATTCAGTACTTATCTTCAATTAGAGCCTATGGTTTTATAACCTGTAATAATCTTCCTTAAGATGTTCTCTGAATACACTGTCCTTTAATGATGTAACTGTAATTATGCACACAATCAAATGTAAATCCTCATCTCATCATATTCCAGTCCAGCTCTCTGTTGTGGCCCAGGAAGGCAGTGGAGGATGGTCCAAGTGCTTGGGCCCCTGTACCCGCAAGGGAGACCAGGAGGAAGCACCTGGCTCCTGGCTTCGGATCGGCGCAGTGCGTCGGCCTTGGCAGCCATTTAGGGGGTGAACCAACAGAAGGAAGACCTTTCTCTCTGACTCTCTCACTGTCTAACTCTGCCTGTCAAATAAAAAAAAAAAAGAAAAAGAAATTAGTATAACTACGTTTTGAGGCTGATGTAACAATATCAGAAAATACAAGGATGTATCATACCCTAATTTTGCTTGATCTTCAAGATAAAAGCTACCTCAATTAGGATATCTGACACTACTGTCTTCAAGTGGTAGTACCACTACTCAGTTAAATAGCGTGGCAATTTTACTTTTTATTATTTATTTGAGAGTGAGAGAGAGTAAGCAAGCATACATGTCTTTCCATTTGCTGATTCATTCCCTAAATGCCCACAATGCCAGGGTTTAAGGAGCCGGGATGGCAATCCATCTCCCATGTAGGTGGCAGGAACCCAATTACTTAAGTTATCACCACTGCCTCTCGGGATCTGCATTAGCAGGAAGCTGGAGTCAGGAGCTGGGGCTGGATATTAAAGCCAGGTACTCTGATATGTTATGTGGGCATTTTTTTTTAAAAGATTTTATATTGAGAGGTAGAGTTACAAAAAAAGTGAGACACTGTTTCACTCCCTAAACAGCTGCAAAGGTCAGGCAGGGGCAGGCCAAAACCAGGAGCCTGGAGCCTCTTCCAGGTCTCCAAAGTAGGTGCAGAGAGGCCCAAGCACTTCTGTCATTCTCTGCTGCCCTCCAAGGCACACTAGCAGAGAGCTGGATCAGAAGTGGAGCAGCTAGGACTTGAATTGGAGGTGGCAGTTTTTATCCGCTATGCTACAATGCCAGCCCCAAAACTTAGGTTTTTCTACAACACTCTCAAGAATTGTCTTCTGACGGCATTACCTGCACTGACTGAAAGACCTCCCACCAGGTTCCACCCACTTCCAATAGTGCCAGTTGGGAGAGGGAGGCAATCTTTTTAACATGTGGACCTCTTGGGGGGATATCCAAACTAATATCCAAAACAAGAGCACTCAGTCTTGGTAAAGAAGTTTAATAATTTGCAATCAGAACAGGTAAATAAGGTATCCCTGGTAAAGCTGATGCCCAAACCAATGAAAAGAAATATTCTTTTTTAATTTGATAGAAACAGTTTGGTACTTTATATATATACCTATTCATTTAAAAAGTAAAATAAACAATTCTATTCATGTAGCTGATGAATACTAGTTACAACTATTCAAGGTCAGATACGCACTTAAAAGGAAATGATGAGGCATTCAGTTCTTCCTACTGCCCTTAAGAATAAGAATTTCCTGAACAAAGATGGATAGCACTTTTATGCCTTCCTTCCACATTTCTTTTGGAGTCACTTATGTGTTATTCCTACACTGGCAATCTTTGACTAACAGCTGGCGAATGTTCATGGTGATGCAGAAGTATTCGAAATGGTTGGCTAGACTGTCACTGTTAACTCACAAGTTATCAGAAAACTAGGAGAATATACTTGTATATTCGTTGTCTGACTTAGAGAAGATGAGATGAAACAACCAACCAACCCGTGATTTCACCTTTCATAAAGAGCCTCAAAGGTAAAAGTTTTCTTAGTAGGCTAAGGAGACAGAAGCCATACTATACTCATCAAGTACGTAACACAGTATAAAACATGAGTAACACTTAAGTGAACTAATTAGATAAACAATGGTACATGCCAAGAAAGGAACAACATTTGGAAGAGAAAACAGACAGCAAAAGAAGGGAAAATTACTGCAGCAGGCTTTTAGCTTAGGAGCTGGGTTCCTAACTCCAGGTTCCACACAAGAGCACCTGGGTTTGCTTTCAGGCTCTGGCTCCCGACTTCAACTTTCTGCCACTGCAGACCCTGGAAGGCAGCAGTGATTCCTGTCATCTTTGTGGGAAACCCAGAATTTTCTTTCTTCCATAAGGGACCCCAAATCTTTCAGGGGAAAGCTGATAGGAAACTTATCAGCTTTTGATAAGAAAAAACAGCTGATGATAGGAAACTAACTTTTTTCATCAATGAACCATGATTAACAAATATAAAGTTGGGAGTATTTGCAATATTCCCAAGTAAGAAAAGTGGTTAATATTTAGTGTGTAAGATTCCTTCTGGGGCAGTGCTGTGGCGTAGTGGGTAAAGTTGCCTCCTGCAGTGCCAGCATACCATATGGGTGCTGGTTTGAGTCCCAGTTGCTCCACTTCCAATCCAGCTCTCTGCTAATGCACCTGGGAAAGCAGAGGAAAATGGCCCAAGTCCTTGGGCTCCTGCAGCTATGTGAGAGACCCAAATGAAACTCCCTAGTTGTGGCGGTCATTTGGGGAGTGAACCAGCTGATAGAAGATCTCTCTCTTTGCCTCTCCTTCTCTGTAACTCTTTCAAATAAATAAATAAAGCTTTTAAAAAAATATTTCTTTTCAGTTGTAAGTCTTATGATCTTCTGTGTAGATCTTCTTTAAGAATTCATTTGCCAGCAGTATCAACAGAAATAACAGAAATAGTAGTAGTAATAATTTTTATTACTATCATAAAAACAGGCACTTACTATATGCTAATTATTTTAATCTCTCATGTCAATCTTACAGTTATTGTTATCATTCCAATTTTAGAGATGACTAAACCAAGCAAGTAAGGCAATGCAATTTGCTGAGGTTAATAATAATCAGGAGCAGGCAGAGCTGGAATTCAAATTCAGCTTTGATTTCACAAGTAGGACTTTTTTTTAAAAGATTTATTTATTTATTATAAAGGCAAAGTTACAGAAAGGCAGAGTCTTCCATCTGCTGGTTCACTCCCCAAATGGCTGCAACAGCTGGAGCTAGGCCAATTCAAAACCAAGAGCTTCTTCCGGGTTTCCCATGCGGGTGCAGGGGCCCAAGGACTTGGGCCATCTTCCACTGCTTTCCCAGGCCAAAGCAGAGAGCTATATCGGAAGTGGAGCAATTGGGACTCAAACTGGTGCCCATATGGGATGCCAGCAATGCAGGTGGTCGCTTTACCTGCTAGGCTGTAGCACCGGCCCCCACAGCTTGGACTCTTAAACCTCTAAAGCCAGGGGTGGGGAACCTTTTTTCTGCCAAGGGCCATTTGGATATTTATCATATCATGAACAGGACATACAAAATTATCAACTTAAAATTTAGCCTGCTATAGATTTACTGAGTTCCACCTACATTTGTCTTGGTGAGGCCAAAATGATTTCACAGGCCTTAAATGGCCTACAGCCTGGAAGTTCTCCATCCCTGCTCTAAGCTATACTAGCAAATCAAATCATGGAAGAAACAGATTAGATCTAGCTTGAATTGAATTAAGTAGCTTTGTTACCCAAACAACAAGAAAAAAAGCTTCACAAGGCCTTTAAAGATCAATGTTTTGCAGTTCAGTATGCTGACACATAAAGTGGCATTTAAGTACTCAGAAACTCTGTGAGATCATTTAGAGTAGTCTAAACATTCTTCCATTAATGAAAGAGCAAAGCCCCCAAAGATATTAAGAACTTTCTCAACTCATATGATTTGCTAGAATCTGGCTCTCTTTGCCTTTCTATGCTGAGTTCTTTCTCTCCACCACAAGATATACAAGTCAGCTAATCACATACATTTTTATATTTCCAAAAGTATAAACTTGAAAATTGGAACTCTGCTATAAGAATATTTCTTGAAGTAAGCTGAGTTACAGAAATCTTCCAGCTGCACATGGTGGTATTTTAAAATATTCTAACCAGTGTGATTTTTCAACCAAAATTATTTTATAATATGGTAAGTATGCTTATTTTAGAATTCTAATTTGAAAAATTATTTTGCAAGTTCATGCTTTGCTGACAGATAAGCAGCATAACTAGCTACTTAAACTAACCAAATCACTTGATTATATTAAATAATGAAAATATTTAAAGGAATGGGGAGAAGAGTAATTATACCTTGCTAAATTTTGCTGCATATTTTCAACCTTCATTAAAATCTGGACCCCAGTCTGAGAGTGAACGTAGGTTTTCAACCTGAAATAAAAACATCATATAGAAGAAAGTGAAATTGATTTTTAGTATATTTCAGGATTGTCTTATGAAAAGTAAGCATTTCTGAACACCTAATAATCCTTCAAATGCATCTGCCAGCACAGAAAATGAGATGTTTTCTAAAGAAGGATCTTAAATAGAATAACATTTTTCTCTCTCTGTTCAATTAATCAAATTAGAATTTATCCATTTCAGACAATTAAATTAAAAATGTATCCAATTAAGTAACAGATACTTTGTCTTACTGGCAAGCATACATTTAACCACAACAACTAGGTTATTGGTGGTAAGAAGGAAGGAAAGCAAACTATCACAGCTGTCCCAAAGACACTGTTTGATATATGACATGCGTTTGCTTCAATCTGGGCACCACCTTTTATCAAATGAAAAAGAATGAGATTTAATTTGAATTGGATCAGACCTTTTAGAATCTACCCAGTCTAAATTTTGAACACCAGGTTACTCTGGAACCAAACCAAGCGTTCACATCCCAAGCAATTACCATCTGGTGAAAATAAAATCACCTGGGTTCCTGCCCAGGAGCACTAATAACTCAGATTCCAATAACTGTTTCCTTTTTTGAGTACTACTGTATGTTAGGCTTTGTACTAGGAATTTTACATACGCTATTTCTTATCAGCATTATAACAACCTTAACTAGTTCTTATTTTACCGATGAAAAAACTTAGGGCCTGGAAGTTAAGTAACGTGTTCCTGATCACACAGCTAATAAGGGACAGAGTCAGCTATTCTAACCCAGATATCCATGACTGAATCTTTCCACTATGCTATCTTAACCAATTTTATCTATGCTGTATTTTTGGACAGGAGGCAGGGTGTACCTTACTTAGTTCTATGAAGACTTGGCTGAAACAGGATTTTCTGTCTTTAACAGTTAGTTGGAAAGTCTTAATTTCCAGAGTTTTTGGTTCAACTTGAAAGGCAGTTTAGTTTAAGGGTTAAGAGTGCATACTTTGGGCCGGCGCCGTGGCTCACTAGGCTAATCCTCCGCCTTGCGGCACTGGCACACCGGGTTCTAGTCCTGATTGAGGCGCTGGATTCTATCCCGGTTGCCCCCCCTTCCAGGCCAGCTCTCTGATGTGGCCAGGGAGTGCAGTGGAGGATGGCCCAAGTGCTTGGGCCCTGCACCCCATGGGAGACCAGAAGTACCTGGCTCCTGCCTTCGGATCAGCGCGGTGCCCCGGCCATTGGAGGGTGAACCAACGGCAAAAGGAAGACCTTTCTCTCTGTCTCTCTCTCTCACTGTCCACTCTGCCTGTTAAAAAAAAAAAAAAAAGAGTGCATACTTTGACTCCAGACTGCCTGCATTTAAATCCCTGGTTCTCCACTTATTAGGTATTCAGTTAGTTAACCACTTTAAGGCTTAGTTTCCTCATCTGTAAATGAGCAGAATATTAGGAATCTACCTGAGTTATTGTGAGAATTTAATTAATAAATTTAATAGTATCATTCTTGAAGAGCATTTGAAACACTGAACAGTGAGTGTTAGCTACTATTATACTAACCTTCAATAAACACCAAGGAAATGTGACAGAAAGTAAACTGCAGTGACATATGACATTTTAATAAAGTCATGGCTTTACACAATACACACTTAATACTCAACTTTTTAAATATCTTCAGAAAGTTGTATGAGTTTGAAACATACCTTTGACGAATTATGGGATCAGATTTTTCAGGATCAATGTAAGGTTTGAGGATTTCATTAATAGTTTTATCATCTGGTACTCTTAACAAAAGAAAAAACTGTATTATTGTTTATAATTTTCTACTAAAGGTGTTAGAATTACTAAATGTTGTGGATTTTTTTTGCTTTGATTAAATAATTTAAGAGTGACCCTTTATTTCACTACTGGCAGAATATAACAGCCTTTTAAGCAAAAATTACTTAATAATACACAAAAAGATTTCTTGGCATACTTAAGAAAGGATTTTCAATTAAACATTTTTGAGAAGCTTCTTAAAAATCAGTTATAAAAATATGAAGCCTCTAAGAACACACATCTGTGCTCAAATATGATGTCTGTATGAAATATACTTGAAACCTGCAGAAATAAAAATCTGAAAAAATCTTTCAGATACTAATTTCAGTACATGTTCAAGTTTTTCATTTTCTATAAAACCATGTTAAAAACTGATACTGATTTTAAGGTGTCCAACTTTCCTGTATATTTGTACACTACTTTCACTTTAAAACTGTATAAACAAAATTAAGACACTAAGTTGCCTCAACCATTTATATATGTTTATAAACACTGTTGGCCACACATTTCCATCTGTAAAATGAGTCCTTTTTATCTTTAGTCTGGTATACAACTTCACACAAGACAGTTCTTCAACAAAATTTGTGTGACAATTACACTGAAGAAAATTTATATACAATGTGGATATATGCTAGATAAACTTAAACATCAACTTTAATTCCAAGGAATTCAATAGTATGCAACCATTAAAATTTTTAAATGGCACTTGAAAATATTCATAACATGAAAAAAGTAGACAACCTCATGCAAATTCATTCAAATATCGGTATACATATATGTGTTTAAAAAGTAACTTTTGCATAGCAAACATCTGGGCCATTTGTTACTCACTATACATCTCATCAGTCTCAGAAACAGAAACCTCTCAGTCCCTTTGATTCTCCTTGCATCCTTCTTCCTAACACCAACTCTCCCCCTGCTTAAGTAACCACCAGCATGATTTCTATGTTCATTGTTTCCCTTAGCATTCCACCACCTTTACAGGTATTCCTGAAAAAGTATACTATTTCATTTTCTGGAGTGTTTTACTTTCTTATTGATGAGCAGAAACATATTCTGTACATTTCTTTCTCAACTTGCTTGTTTCAACATTTGCACAGCAGTAGTTCATTCATTTCATAGTGATGGTTAATATTTCATTGGGTGAATATTCCACAACTTAATTTTTGTCCTAATGACATACATATAGTTAACAACTTGTCTGAAATACAGGACTTAAAATAAAAATAATTCAGTTCTTAATACACAATGATATACTATACCTTTTTTCTACGTACTCAGCTTGACTTTGAGGAAAGCAGAGCTTCACATGCCAACAAAACTGTTGTTTTCTAAGAGAAAATAATCATGTGAGGATCAAGGAAAATAATGACAGTATGAATGCAAATCAACTTTCTGAATTTTCATTTAAAAATCATTCTGAGAACTGAAATCTCTTTCCTAGTAACAGCTATTTTCTAAGACTTTAGAAGCTATGTTTTTGAAAGGCTATACTTGTGTTATTAAGAAAGAAAAAAAATAAAGTGAAGCAGTTCTAAATTCTAAGAACATCACATTCCTGAATTTGAAGGCAATTTCTCATAGTTCAGAGGCTTCTGAGATCAGTGTGCTACTACTTTAAGTTTACAAATAAATTTCCTCATGACTAAACACAATGAGCTGATGTCTTTGCCTGACTAGTCTGGAAATTAGGTGAATGAAGTATTGTCCGGTTGAGTCCAGCTGGCTGCAAATATACTTCTGAGGCATGAGTACGTGCATTCAGTAGCAAAACAGTAGACAACAAGCTGGTTGCTAGGCAGAATGACTCTGACCTAGAGTCTCCCTGCTTTCAGATCTAAACTTTGGTGTGATACAGGATTAACAGTAATAATCCACTAAATGCTTGACTTTAGAAAAATGACAAAATGCCCCCCCCCCTTTTTTTTTTGACAGGCAGAGTGGACAGTGAGAGTGAGAGAGAGACAGAGAGACAGAGAGAAAGGTCTTCCTTTGCCGTTGGTTCACCCTCCAATGGCCGCTGCGGCCCGCACACCGCGCTGATCCGAAGCCAAGAGCCAGATGCTTCTCCCGGTCTCCCATGGGGTGCAGGGCCCAAGGACTTGGGTCATCCTCCACTGCACTCCTGGGCCACAGCAGAGAGCTGGACTGGTAGAGGGGCAACCGGGACAGAATCCGGCGCCCCGACTGGGACTAGAACCCTGGGTGCCGCGCCGCAGGTGGAGGATTAGCCTATTGAGCCGCAGTGCCAGCCAATATGCCCTATTTAATATGCCTAAATTTAATGTACTGGACAGCATTTTTTTTTTTTAAATCCAATGTTCAAAATAGGACAGAAATGTAAATGTCTTCACCTCATGATAGTTTTATATAATAGTTTCCTTACTTGGAAGACATTTCTGGAGCCAGCGTTGTGGCACAGTGGCCTAAACTGCCACTTGTGGGGCTAGCATCCCTTATGAACAATTATTCAAGTCCTGGCTGCTCCACTTCCAATCTAATTCCCTGTTAATGTGCGCAGGAAGGCAGTGGATGATGACAGAAGTGTCTGGGTCCCTGCCACCCACATGGGAGACCTAGATAGAAATCCAGGCTCCTGACTTCAGCCTAGCTCAGCCCAGCGGACCAGTGGATGGAAGATCTCTCGTTTTGCCTCTCTTGGTAACTCTTTCAAATGAAATAAAATAAAAATAAATCTTTATAGAAAAAAATCTTGTTAAAATTTCTAAGGCAGTGCCTGACAGCATCTCCACTAAGCAATGACCAGTATGTCCTTGAAATATACCTCTTAGCAGCAAAATCTAATATAATGAACAATGTGAAGTTATAACCATAAACCTGAAGATGTAAACCAAAAGTCATCAGTTCCTCTGAAATGGCACTGCTCATATTATAACATGTTTAAATTCATTAACAAAGATACACTTAGAAATGAAATGCTTGTACCTATCAGATTTTCAGAACAGTTTTAAAATTAGTGATATTAGTGAACTGTGACCAAGTGGACATTCCACTGCAGACGAGAGTATAAACTGGTGTAAGCCTCTAGCAGTTCAATTTCATACAAGCTGTATATAACAGGTTGAAATTTAAAAAGTATATATTTTTGCCTGAACAGTTTCATTCTCAGGAATTTATTAGTCTAAGGAAATAATTGGGTAAGTAGTAAGATATGTACAAAATGTTTACTGCATTACTTTTTAAAAATATTTATTTCATTTATTTGAAAGATAAGAGTTACAGAGAGAGGTAGATACAGAGAGAGGTCTTCCATCTGCTGCTTCACTCCCCAGATGGCTGCAATGGCCAGAGCTGTGCTGATCTGAAGCTAGGAGCCAGAAGCTTCTTCCGGGTCTTTCACATGGGTGCAGGGGCCCAAGCACTTGGGCCATCTTCTACAGCTTTCCCAGGCCATAGCAGAAAGCTGGATTGGAAGAGGAGCAGCCAGGACTAGAACCAGCGTTCTTATGGGATGCTGGCGCTTCAAGCGAGGGTGTTAACCTGCTGTGCCACAGTGCCAGCCCCATGCATCACTTTTTATAACAGAAAAAACTAGAAACAACTTAAATATACATAATCAGATTTATTATAAAACATGGTATATTTACATAATGAAATGTTAAACAGTCATAAAAGATGATGCAGAACTATATGCATTAATATTGAAAAATGGATGTTGGTTGATAGCATTTATATTTAAAATACAGATTTACACAGGTGTCTATAAATATGAAGGACATGCCCTAAATTTTAACTATAGCTATTTCTTGATATTATGAAAGGATTTAATTCTTTCTTAAGAATACATCTGAATTAAGTAATCTTTCAAAAAATTTTTATTTTTTAAAGTTAGCATGTTGTCATGGGGAAGTGCTGGATGTAAAAGTGACAGAAGGAACTGCAACCCTTTAAAAAATTACAAATATTTCCTTATTAGAAATATTCATTTAAGATGTCTCCATTTTATCTTAGGAGTTACTGCCCAGGCAGAACCAGGGTTACACATCTAATCATTTTGATAGCCTCAAAGCTGTCATCCTAAGAAATACGGCACATCTTAAGAGTTACATTCTAGGTCTCTGACATGGGTGCAGGGGCCCAAGCACTTGGGCTGTCTCCAGCTATCCTTTGAGGCACAGAGAAATGAAAGTTCAAGGTGCGACAGTTTGTCCTACCCGTTTAAGATGCCAGCTGAGACACCTGTGTCCCATCTCATAGTTCCTAGGTTTGATGTGCACCTCTGATTCCTGACTCCAGCTTCCTGCCAATGCATACCCTGAGAGGCAGCAGTGATGAATCAAGTGGATGGGTTTCTGCTGCCCATGTAGGGAAGCTGAATTTGGTTCCTAGCTTCTGGCTGTGGCTGAGCCTGGCCCAGCTCTGGCTGTTGAGGACATCTGGGGAGTAAACCAGTAAATGGGAGCATTCTCTTTCTCATTAAAATCAAAACAAATGAGAAGCGGAAATTCAATAATAATGTTTTTGCCTCCTTATTTTAGAAACACTGGTAAGTAGTATAGGTAGACATTTTGATAATCTTGTGACCATTCCCATCTTTTCACTGTCATCCTTCCTAATCCATAAATGCACATTGATAAACAGATATAATCCCTACCCTCTAGGACGTGTGCCTGTTAGTTTAACAAGGTCAATATATATCTTCCTGGACACAATCAAGGTCTAATTATAGTCTAATCATGGTGAATTTCAGCTTTCTTCCTCAATAATGTTGACAGAAGCACTCCTTCTAGGTATTTACTGTAACCTAAACTGTCACCAGCAACATCCTTTGATGGTGGAGGTTTAAGGGGAGGATTAAGCTGACATTAGAAATAAAGCAAATCCTTGATTATATAATCAAGTCATTGTATCTAATAACCTATCCGTTGAGTCCATCCTACCTCTGAACATTCAGTTATGAGAGCCAAAGTGCATTATTAAAACAGCTCAAATAATATAAACTGAGTATTCTATTTCACACAACAGGAAGCATCCTAACTTATATAAAGGAGTAAAGCTTTGTTCTTTTTAGGTTTTATCTTTCATTTATAAGCAATAGAAAAAGAAAGAAAACTAAAATTGTCAACTGTTATGACATTTGGAAGTGGCAAATAATACCTGAAAGAATTTCAGGAGAAAAAACATGTTATTCCACTGCAAGCTATAAAAATCTTATTTAAAACTGAAAGAAAAATTACTGTATTTTGAAATTCTCCAAGGGAAAAAACCAAATGTACAAAATACCTACACAATCCTTCACTCATGAGTAATTAATTTTTTGCAATGTATTTAAAGATGAAATGTAAAGCTTTTCAAAATAAACACAATTATCCCACAGAAAAATAATCTACTTTATTAGGACAGATGATAAAGTATTTTTGGAAGCATGATACAAAGGATCATTTACTTAGTATGGATTAACATGACCAGAATTTAGGAAAATGAAAGCCATAATTTTATGTCTCACATCACTGTGAAAATACTGAAAAGTTCCAGTTACATATCTCTAGCCTTTTGAAAAAATTAGTACTACCACTACATGATAATAATAGGAAACAGGTTAACTATGTGGTGGTGCTGGCTTCAGCAGATAGTACATTAAGAAAAGGGATATAGCAGGTAAAGACTGAAATGACAAAGAACATTGTGCTTCAAATAACTGATAAATACTTGAGCACTTAAAACAGTCCTCAGTTTGAAGTGGGGTGATGGGAGTGGAGCCCTCTAGAAATAGTTGGGCAATTTAACATTTTTTTAAATGCTTGAGGTATTTAGTAGGGAAAGCCAAAGAATGCTAGTCTCTCTACAGTGCAGGTGAAGTCCTACATAATAACAACAAATCATCAATTTCAAATGCCAACAGAGTCCTTTTTAAGAAACACTAGAATGTAGAAAAGAGAGTATATGTATGCATACCAAAAATGAATACCAGCACTGGCCAGCATCTGTTTCGTATTAATCATGGAGAAAATATGTATTACAGGAACTCATGCAAAGGAGACATGGGGAGAAGATGGGCTATCATGTGTACTTTCACAGGTGGCTGGGCAATAGGTAAGAGGAAGACAGTCTGGGATTTAGAAGAGTGACTAACCTGGGTACGTTGAGTTGACAAGGAAATCACGTAGGGACAGACCATAATGATCCATATTTGGATATGGACCAATTGTAAGAACAGAAGATTTTTTGCTCAGAATATGACTCTACCTTAATTCCCTAGCATAGTGAGCCTTTCTCTCAGGCTATCTCCTATCACTCATTAACTCCCACTCCAGCTCTAGAAACACCAAACTACTTAGTGACCTTCGAAATTTGCTACTCTATGCTTTTG